GGGAATGTGAGAATTGGGGAATGTGAGAATTGGGGAATGTGGGAATTAGAGAATGTGAGAATTTGGAAATGTGGGTATTTGGGAATGTGGGAATTGGGGAATGTGAGAATTTGGGAAGGTGAGAATTGGAGAATGTGGGAATTTGGGAATGTGGGAATTGAGGAAAGTGAGAATTTGGAAATATGGGAATTGGAGAATGTGAGAATTTGGGAATGTGGGAATTGGGAAATGTGGGAATTGGGGAATGTGGCAATGCACCCCTCTTAACCCCCACCACAGTGTGAGTTACATCATATTAGATGTTTAAAACTTTTTAGTTGTGAAATTTAAGAATCTTGAAATTGCTATATTTTCAAATTTGTACACTTGTCAATCCTCAAATGTCTAAATCTTTAAATCCCCAAATTCAACTTACAGGTTTGCAGATTCAACCCCATGCTGCCAACCTAACCTCAAACCTACGTAATCCCAAAATAACCGAAAGTATAGAAAAACATAAAACTACACAGAAAAGATATGTAAACATAATTGTTCTAAATTGCTAACAGCAAAGAAACACCCCCAATAGTAAAGAAACACCTCCAAAAGCAACCTCCTGTCACATCACATTTGCTAAAAAATCATAATAACCTTACTACTCCTCTAAAGCACAATACACCATCCAATTATAAATCTAACGTTCTTAAAATCCCGCTAATGCGAAGAAAAGAAGCGGAAGCTTAGTTAAAATCGGAGCGAGCGAATTTTAATGCGAGCCTACGGCCTCCATTTTCCATCGACGATCATCCAAGTCGACCCAGAAAAGCGTCGACGAAGGAGGCTCGTTTATTTCCTGACAGTCATTTCCTCTTCTTTCAGGAGGGAATCGGCTCGCTGAAGGTGGTGCCCGGAGGGATCGAGCTCAGAGGTCAAGCTGCCGTTCTGGATACCCTGGTGGCCTCCAGCCTCAGATCCAGACGAGGAAAGAATCTGGTTCTCGAGTCTTGGAGCAACTTCACTGCGTCTGCCAGGTCGCACGATGGCCGACTACTCGCGCGATTCACCGTCGGTGAGGATAACAGCCTCTCATTTACGCTTTCGTTTAGAACTGAATTGCCTTGGTTCATGCCTCCATTGCACCGACGCAATCTTCATTCGTATTTTCAAAATCAGCCTTGATGATGTGAAACAACTTTTTGGTTATGCGAATTATTTCGTGATGGGACGGTTTCAATTTTATTTTTGTTTATACCCTCGTTGCGTCTAATAAGCTACGTTGCATCTATATTATAGAAATATACAATGAAATTATGAAATGATGTGAAATTCTTCTATCATTTTGAGAAACAATGAAGGCAATCATTGAATGCAAATTTCATGACTGATACTTGTAGTAATAATATTTCTTGCATTTGATACTTTTCTATACATCCTTAAATTTAAATACAAAAATAATTATGCATCAAAAATATTACAAGTATATTACGTACTTTTTGAAATTCTTGATAAGCAATATACTTCATAAACAAGAAATATATATTCTTGTAACCAAGGGTTTAAAAATGATTCCAAAGATCACAGAGATGCATGAGGGCTGAAGATCATTTTCGTCCGTATTTCGCATCTAAATCCTTTCATTTAGGAGCAGAGAGCTCAATCATACGAATAATCAATACGGCATTCTGCACATTTGATGGATCTGCGTCACGATTGGTATTTAATCCGAAACGATCGTACGAAACCAATAACACGAGTTTCTGAAATATGTCGGACGATAAAAAAGGAAGTACCGACGCGATCATTATCTTCAAAGTCCTTTCTCTTTAAAAACTTTCAAGGTGAACGAACACCCCCTTTTCTGTAATGGCTCCAGATATTTTGTTTCGTGTCCTCGTGAGAGACAAAAGAACAAAACCGAACCTCGATAACGCACAGCGTTAAATGTGTCTCTGTTAATGGACAGGAGCGTTCCAGTTCCAGTCTCATCGGTTTTTTTTTTTTACGGCTATGAAACAAATCGTGCAACAATCAACGGAGTTGAAGGTACATCGCTGTCGATGACAATCAGTATTCTAGACGCGGATGATCGATGAACGTTATTCAATTGTCTCGAAGCTTTCTTTCAATCTTGCGTTTGACTTTTGTGGTCTGTGACGTTTGTGGGTTTATTTGTAGGGAGAGTGTTTGTTTGCAGGGAATGTAGGTGAGGGTTGCATCTTGTAATTTTTTTAGATGGATGTTTGGAGGGGTTGAGATTTGGAGAGATTAGAATTTTGGATGATAGATATTTGGGGAGAGTGGAATTCAAGGGGATTGGTTTTTGGGGATGTTGAGATTTGGGGTGATTAGAATTTAGCGTGATTGGTATTTGGGAATGTTGAGATTTGGGGAGATTAGAATTTTGGGTGATAGATATTTGGGGAGATTGAAATTTGGGGAAAGTGGAATTCAAGGGGATTGGGATTTGGTGATGTTGAGATTTGGGGTGATTAGAATTTAGAGTGATTGGTATTTGGGAATGTTGAGATTTGGGGAGATTAGAATTTTGGGTGATAGATATTTGGGGAGATTGAAATTTGGGGAGAGTGGAATTCAAGGGGATTGGTATTTGGGGATGTTGAAATTTGGGGTGATTAGAATTTAGAATGATTGGTATTTGGGAATGTTGAGATTTGGGGAGATTAGAATTTTGGGTGATAGATATTTGGGGAGATTGAAATTTGGGGAAAGTGGAATTCAAGGGGATTGGGATTTGGTGATGTTGAGATTTGGGGTGATTAGAATTTAGAGTGATTGGTATTTGGGAATGTTGAGATTTGGGGTGATTAGAATTTAGAGTGATTGGTATTTGGGAATGTTGAGATTTGGGGTGATTAGAATTTAGAGTGATTGGTATTTGGGAATGTTGAGATTTGGGGTGATTAGAATTTAGAGTGATTGGTATTTGGGAATGTTGAGATTTGGGGTGATTAGAATTTAGAGTGATTGATATTTGGGGATGTTGAGATTTGGGGTGATTAGAATTTAGAGTGATTGATATTTGGGAATGTTGAGATTTGGGGTGATTAGAATTTAGAGTGATTGGTATTTGGGAATATTTGAATTTGGGGAGAGTAGAATTCAGGGCGATAGGTATTTGGGGATGTTGAGATTTGGAGAGATTAAAATTTATAATAATTGGTATTTAGGGAGATTAGAATTTAAAGTGATTGGTATTCAGGATGATTAGAATTTAAAGTGATAGATATTTGGGGATGTTGAAATTTGAGGAGATTGGCAGTCGAGGCGATAGGTACGTGGGGGATGTTGAGATTTGAAGAAATTAAAATTTAGAGTGATGTTTATTTAGGAATATTAAGATTTGACTACTTATTAATTTGCCTCCTTAGGAACATCAAGACATAAATATTAGATCTATTAATATCAAAACCTTAAATTTGAACATCCACAATTTTAAAAACCCAAGAACAGCCCCACAAACTCGAGCCCCTTCAAAGACATAAATATTAAAAAACTCTTCTCTTAAAAACCTAAAAATGTATAAACTTAAAAATTTATAAATCTCCAAGTCTATCAACCCCCAGAATATTTGAAAAACAATAAAACTACCTGCAATAACGCAGTCAAAAGCTACGTAAAGTACGTGATCGCGAAAGTGTCATCGTCCGATATTTCCCGGAACATTAAAATATTCCATATTAAATATCCCCAATGAGAATATCGATTCTCCCCGTCGATTCAAATTAATTCGCCGCGTCTGGCGCGTGAATTTAGACGCAAGCGACGCATCAATTCGAGGCACGTACAATAAATACGAGAACGAAATGCTCGTTTATTACCGTCGAAGACACTCTTGGTCCATTATCCCTCTCGAACAGTCTTGTAGAACACAATTCTTGATCCTGTCGATACTCGTCTCCCTTTCTCACGAGTTTCATTGAGGAATTTCTTTTTTTTCGACGGTCATTCGAGGGTGAACAGCGATGAGTGCCTTTTGTACATTTGCAGGTGAAGATCGCGTGGACTGTGTGTCGAGAGGGTTTCGAATAACCGACCCTCAAGGAGGAATCCTCTTCTCGGCGGACAGGGAGCAGGTGGTGGTGGGAGCTGAAATGCTGAGGGTAACCGGCGACGGGGGTGCCGTTTTCCAAGGCAGCGTTCAAACACCGCTGGTCAGAGGGGAATCGGGTCGTGGACTCAGGTAATCGTCCAGAGAATTATTCTTTCCTTATTGCACGAATAATCGGACTATTTGGCTTAGTGCTTTCATTAATTTACTTGGAGGGTGAGAGGGTGGAGGGTAAACTCGTTGGGTGTCTCAAATTGCAAATTCTTAATTAGGAACTTACAAATTTAAAATTGGAAAAGTTAGAACATTGAAAATTGAGAAATGTAAAAATATGACATCGGACATTGAAAATTTAAAAATGCAGAAGGTTGGGAAGGTGGAAAATTGAAAATTTGGAAAAGTAGATAATTAAAGGGGTTGAAAATTGAGAACTGCAAAATGCAAAAAAAGTGAAAAGTTAAAATATTAAAAATTTATAAATGCAGAAAGCTTAGAACGTGAAAAATTGAAAATTTCAAACGTATGAAATTGGAAAAATCGAAAATTGTAAACTTAGAAGTGCAGCATATCGATAACCTAAAAAATTAAAAATTCGAAAATGTAGAAAGTTGAGAAAATTAAAATTTGCAACCTGAAAAATGTCAAAAACAGAAAACCTAAAAAATAAAAGATCCCAAAACATAAAACCGCAAAAATTTAAAATTTAAAATTAAAAAACGTAGAACCCTAATAACATGATAATTGAAAAATCTAGAACAGTGGAAGGTTTGAAAGCTGAAATATTGAGAGCTTAAATATCAAGAAAGGCGGAAAATTGAAAACTGAGAAATGTATGACCACAGAAACGAGACTTAACAGTAAAACGAAATGTGTTAATAGTTAACGAACAAGGTAGAGGTGATCAGATTAAGAGGAGAATGATATTGCAGTAGCTTTGACTCATCCGAAATTAAATTGGTCCACCTAAGCACTTGACACAGTCACCCACATCCGCATGTTTCCCCCGTAAACAGTTCACTTGCCTTTGTCCCACATTTATCCCGAGTCTTTCTAAAAGCGGATTCGACCCAGTTTAACAAACCGTGGTACATTTTCGATTGGCTTTCTCCATCGTTCCGATAATCATCCGGGATGTCGTCGTGGATGCAAGCGTACACAAATAATTGAGCGATACCAGACGCGTTTCGACGTTCCTCGGCTATAAATAATCAAGCAGGTACTCGTACGGGATTAAACTTGCGGTAATGCGTTAAGCTTACAACACTATATGAAACTGATTCCAGCTTACGATCAAACGAATAGTATAATCCGTAGTAATAATTAGTTGCTCTACGTAATTTGCTGGATATTACCGAGTATATTAATACGTGGAATTTATACATTAACATCAAATATTAAACAAAGGTCTCTTGTAAGAAGTAGTAAGTCTAGAAAAATTATTCTACTTTAAATATTTGTAATTTTGGGATTTGGTGGAATTGGAATTTTGGGGCATAGGAGATTTAGGACTTTGCGAGTTTGGGATATAGCTAATTTGGGACTTAGGGATTTAGCAAACTTGGGACTTTGGGACGTTGGAAGTTTGGGGCTTTGGAATTTTGGGACATAGCAAATTTGGGACTTTGGAATTTTGGGACAGAGCAGATTTGGGATTTTGGAATTTTGGGGAATAGCAGATTTGGGACTTTGCGAGTTTGGGACATAGCGAATTTGGGACTTTGGAATTTTGGGATATAGCAAATTTGGGGCACAGCAGATTTGGGACTTTGGGAGTTTGGGACATAGCTAATTTGGGACTTGGGAATTTTGGGACATAGCAAATTTAGGGCACAGCAGATTTGGGACTTTGAGAGTTTGGGACATAGCAAATTTGGGACTTAGGAATTTTGGGATATAGCAAATTTGGGGCACAGCAGATTTGGGACTTTGGGAGTTTGGGACATAGCTAATTTGAGACATAGCTAATTTGGGTCATAGCAGATTTGGGACTTTGCGAATTTGAAACATAGCTAATTTGGGACATAGCAAATTTAAAACTTTGAAAATTTGGAACATAACTAATTTGGGGCCTTGGAATTTTGTGGCATAGCAGATTTGGGACTTTAGGAGTTTGGAACATAGCTAACTTAGGAGTCAGGAATTTTGGGACATAGAAAAATTAGAAAAGTAGAATTAGGAAACTAGAAAAATTACTCTACTTTAACACTAAACCCACCGGCATATAATGTGTACTTCACTTGAAATTAAAAATAAAGAAACAAACGACGAAACATAAATTAGTACACATATTTATTCTTTATCTTGATGAAAATCAATTCTGATGTCAAGAAATGTATTTTAACAAAATGTCTTCCTTATAATAAGAAGCTTGTGGAGCGGTCATTTGACCGGTTTGGTACTTTCAGTGTTAAATATTTGTAATTTTTAGCTAATATTAATTTTCGTTTTAAATTCGAGATTCATTTGGAACTTCAATAATTGCCACGTAGAATAACATCGATTTAACCTGTTCCATTTCATTTGTTAAATTATACAACAAATGACGACCATTTTAAACATTTGTAATTTCAAGATAGCATAATATCAATTTAACGTATATTAATTTCGTTTATTGCACGATGAAAATCATGCGTGAACATTTATCATTTCAAGGTAGATAACATAATAACAGCTTAACCCGCATTCGTTCCATTTATTAAGTCGCACGATGAAAGTGATAATTATTTTGATCATTTATAATTTTACGATAATTAACACGACATCAATTTAACCTGCATCCATTAATTAAATTGTACAATGAAAATCAGAATTATTTTCAACAATTATAATTTTAAATACGGTTACGATTTAATTCCGGCTCTTTAGCGAATTACGTGATAATAGAGTACTTACATTTTGTACACTGTACGTTAATCTTATTACCGTTTAATGGTTTTGATAAATTAGTTAAAATTATTTTTAGTAATTATAATTTTAAGTGCGGTAACAATTTAATTTCTTTTTACTAAATTACACGATAAAAAAAAAATAGAGTGCTTAAAAATTTGTACACTTTATACATTATTGCCGTTTAATAGCTTTGATCCACCACATTAATTATATAATAAAAATGATAATTATTTCGAGCGATCATAATTTTATATACGATATTTAATTTCTGCTTTTTAATAAATTATAAGATAATAGAGTACCTAAAAATGTGAACACTCTATTTATTAATTTTATTGCCATTTAATAGCTTTAACCCGTTACATTAATTATACAACAAAAATCAAAATTATTTTGAGCAATCATAATTTTATATGCAGCATTTAATTTCTGCTTTTTAATAAATTACACGATAATAGAGTCCCTAAAAATTTGAACACTATACATTAATCTTATAGCCGTTTAATAGCTTTAACCCGTTACATTAATTATACAATAAAAATAAAAATTATTTCGAGCAATCATAATTTTATATGCAGCATTTAATTTCTGCTTTTTAATAAATTACACGATAATAGAGTCCCTAAAAATTTGAACACTCTATACATAAATCTTATAGCCGTTTAATAACTTTGATCGTCGATGAAAACCGCCAATTTACATGGCCAATAAATATTCGAAGTAAAAAATGTTGTAAAACATTCTCCCAGCGTTGTTCAATTATTAAATTTACAAATATTCCGCGGCGATAACAGCGTGTAAACGTATCGGACTTTTTCACGCAAAATTTGCGTTTGCTCTTTAAATACAAATTAATATTTTTCCGGCATTCGAGAGTGCTCCGTGAACGATCGCAAACAAGCGTGTTCGAGCGTGCTCTTCGTTAAAATTCGAAATAAAATGGTCGGAGCTGTTCAGTCGGAAAACGTCGAGGTTTCAATCGAGTGACCGCGAAAGTAACAACCGCGATTCCCAACTTTCGCGCCGTTACGTATTATGGGAAATCGCGAATTTTCTAGGAGAAAACGATCAAAGATCGAGCTCCTCGCGGTTATTGATAGTGTCGGGCAATTTACAGACGGATTTACGATTACAATAAAACTTTGCTCGCGCGGAAAATTATATTCATAGGATTGGATTTATGCCAGATATGAAATACCGAGGATCCTCGGCTGCAGGAGCTTGCAAGCAATAGGTCGACGACGAAACGGGGGATTGGGAGGCGAGGTATCGGAAGAAAGGCACGATCGAAGACGTTGCTTTACCACTTCTTAGAGAGGATCGATTATTGCGAGTCTGACGTTGCAGTCGACCGAATTCCGTATTATTTTGTTCAACGATATTACGGACAACCAGACCTATTTGTTCCTTTCCAGCTACAGCTGCGGATCCAAGAATTAAAATTCTCGGTCGAACGATATAAATATTTGAAAGAAACTGATTTTACCTGAACTTCAAATTCCTTAAATATTTAACCGAATTTTTTACGTAGTTTTGGACTTACCAAAGAAGCTTCTTCTCTGAGAGGCAAGGTCACGTTGTTCCACCAAAACTTGCTGGATATTCGAGTATATTATGATTGTAGTTAGTTCGTATTATCTTCTCTGACTTGTAACATTTAATGTCTTCTAGTCTCTTCCGTATCTTCAACTACTTAATATTTTTTTTGATCTCTAATATTTCGTATGTTCTCTTCTAATTGTATATTCTATGTCTTTTAATATTCAGATAATTTAAAATTATCTTTAATAACATTGTTGACAGACTGGAATCGGCGACCAGATCCTTGAAAATCAGCGCACCCCAGAGAGTGGCGATCGAGTCCTGGGCCAACGAGATATCAGCTTCCTGTCTGACCGACCTGAAGCTGCAGAGCGTGCACGGCGCCATCAAGTTGGACGCGAAAACGTTGTTCATGAAGGGTTTGAAAACTGCCAGTCCTAGTCAGGGACACTCGTCGAGAGAGCAACAGCAGCAGCACTCTTCCCGGACATCCTCTCACCAGAATCAAAGGGACACGACCATATATCAGTTATGTGCCTGTGCTAACGGCAAACTGTTTCTCGCTAGGTCCGAGGGAATCTGTCAGGCGGACAAATCAATTTGCTAATACCCGACTGGAAGAAATCGCCTCGAACGAACCTTCCAGTTAATTGAGCCCGATCAAAGACACTGGGTACCTGTGAGAACGCGAACGAACCCGTGACGATGAAAGTGTCGAATGTAGAATCCATGGCAGGTGACGATATACGGTAGTCCCGAGTTCGCCTAAGGCCTTCCGCTTTTCGCTGGTGTTTCCGTGTTCTAGAGCAGCCAGTCTTTCGTCGCGATGAGGATCCGGAGAACTTGGAAGCCGTCGAAGGACGCTATAGAAAGTGATCCAGGGAGTTAGAGTTCTTCCAAGCTAGCCAGTAAAATTGCCTAAATCGCGCGTTAAGTCCTGTATACCTTCGCTGAGATAAAAAACGATCTGGCTGGCAATCGTCACCTCGTTCCTGTCTGTCCCTATGCCCGTTAGACTGAACCGTTTTACCCCGCGTTCCTGGTTTCTTTGCGCAAAACGTTCGCCAGACCATAAGCAACGATTTGCAGTTCCTTCGTACCAATGAACGAGAAGTGTCGAAGTGTGAATAACTTGGTCGCGTTAGCTGCATATGTCTGTTCGCCCGAGTACGCCGATTAGAGGGACGTCGCGATTAGAGGAACGTTTATTTTGGTGCGTGTTTTATGGTAAAATGGGAGGCGCGAGTGTAGTTCACTGTAAAAGGATCAGGTTGTGATCCAGCTTGTACGCTGTACATCGGCCATGTCCATCTATTTATGTATGTGGCAATAAAGTCGTTATTGTTACTATTATTATTAAACTTTGACCATTATTCTCCTGATTATTTGGCTACCTTTATAGCAGAACTGTATTCTGACGAGTGGATTCAGTTTTTGGATTCTTTTGCATTTTTTGTTCGTTTGAGTTACTCGTCGGAGGACGCTTCTGTTGTAATCGTAGCCTTAGGTGACTGGGTGCCTTCATGATAGATACGCACAGGTAGGTTGATGTATATATTAATACATAGACTAGATTCGTAGACTTAATTACATAGACCATATTCATAGACCTAGTTGCATAAATTAGATTGAATCAGTCTGATGATCTTAGTGACTCAAGTGCAATGATGCATTTATTATGTCACCCAGGGTTTAGACAGTCAACCTGAACGAATGGATACATTCCCCAAACCAATGATCCATTTGTTGTAAAGGTCACTCAAGGTTAGGTCGATGTGAATAGACAAATCCTTAGACTAAAGTTCCTAAACTCTCCACCCAAAGCACCACTCAACAGTTTAGGCCTATGTGATCCAGGTGGACCTTGCCTAAGACCTGTGAAAGTCTAGAAACTGTCAGAACAATGTGATGTATGGAGAGCTGAGAATACCCTAAAGTTCCCAATAAACTCTTCATACTTTCTAAAGACCTTAGGCAAGATGACTTTCACGTTTTAATATATAAATAATTATTAAACACAAAGTGTCCTACTCGTGTTTGCGAATGAAACGTACAGAAGTTAATGGAAGAAGGAACAGCTGTTCAGCACTGTTGCATACGTTCTATAGATTTCCGTTGGAGAATCTAGGCGCAGCCGCGAGCCAGCAGTACGATAAACGATAACGGGGACGAAATTAGGCGAAACGAAAATAGTTTCAAGAGAAGCCGATCTCACTGCATAATATAGTATACGTCAAGCCAGCTGACAGGTAGCAGAGGCAATCTCACCTAGTAGCCCCTTAAACGGCTCTGACGGCAAGGTAATTTTCTTGGAATTCGAGATTAAAATTGCATCCAGGCTAGAAGGGAACAAAGTGCACCCCGAGCCATATCGTCGGAGGGGAAGGGTTGGAAGAGGGTAACGGCGATGGGGATGGAGCAATCTAACAAGCAGCTACGAAAAAGGAGGGGCACAACGTAAGCGGTGTGAATTAGCAGCGACCGAGTGAAAAAAGAGAGAAAAAGGATAATACTGGTCGGGTGAAAAATGCCTCTTAGATCCCTTTGCATTGCCCTAAGACGAGAAGTATCCCGGTACACCGGGAAAATGTTCTCCGACCACCGGTTCGGTAAATTTCATCAGATCCTACAGAAGCCAGTTTCTTCTTTTCTTTTACACGTCATAACGTTGTTTCTTTGCATAAATTATGCACCTTCAGAGAAATGTTCGTCTTAATTAACGACTTGAATGGCACCGCGTAAATGAGAATTTGCGTTATCGCTTAATATTTTATATTATGCGCGTTTAACTGTACACTGCGATAATAGAGTCGGGACGAACGTAATTTGATTTGTAATTACATGATTGAATTCTGGAAATCGATTAATGGACATTTGATTTAGTACATAATTTAAAAGCTGACGCGAGGTCTCAAGACAAGGTCTTGGTATTGGAATAATTATAATTTCGTATTATCAAAGTTGTCTCGTCTTTTAAAATCATAACACACAGTCGCTCTCCGCCCGTTAATTAGATAACCAATTAAAAACTCGTGCAAATAATTTCCGCCACCGTGCTTTGTTAACGTCGCAGAGTTTGCACATAAAAACGCTTCGCAGCGAAATATTTCACCGTGATGAAAGTTTCGAAAATTCCTCTTCTTCAAGAATGATTAGACGCGGTAAGATTTTCTCGGCAGCGTGGACAGGCGTGGCACGGTCGTCTCAAAGAAACAGGACGGATAATTAATCTGGAATCTATTCAGAGGCCATTACTGGGCTCCGACTCGGGATTGATTAATTAACCGGCAGCTTTGTTTATACAGTCTCGGGGACTATTACCGAGTGCTTCGCCAGTTAAATTACTTGCACGATGCTCGACTGATGTGACACGGTCGTAGTTTTCTGTCTCGAGGTAAGGCTCTTTCAGCCCTCTCCGAAGGGGTGGAGTCGATGTCGGTGCAACCTGTCAGATGGATTCCGTGAAGCGTGAAATTGTTGCACGTGGCTGATAAAGCTTTAAATACGAATTAGTGGCACTCGTGCCACGGCGAAACCTGCCGCGTCCCGCTACGTCATCCGGGACGCCGGTTTCGCGCACGTGCACGCGTCCCCTCTATAATTAGTAGCTGATTTTCAGAGCCGTTTCAAGAGGTACACTCGTTCGGTGACCACCGATAACGCCGTAATTAGTTTTACCCGTGAATCCAGCGAGGTCCGTTGAAAATCCACTGGTGCCACACCGATGTCCCGTTGGCTCGTTGCCCGTTATACGAATTTATCGAGGTCGTAAAGGGAATGTAACGGGCAGGGAAAAGGGTCGGTCGGAGAAGAGATTGCAGCTACTCGAGAGAACCGGAGAGGGAGGAAGATGTCTTTGGAGGAATATTGAATATTGAATTAGGACACTCGGCTGTCTTTAGGTTGCCTGAAGCGTGAGTAGTAACTTAGTCGTCCGAGCGGACTGGTCGAATTGAAATTCCGGGAGGAAAAAGGATCTTGGTCATTTTCCTCCTCCTTTTTTTTCGTGGTACCAGCTTCAACAGTTTGGAAGTTGTTCGAGAGGTTTGACGAACTTTTTACTGGATATCGTACAAAGTACTCTACCCTTAAGTTACAAAGGATATTCGATGCTGGTAATGGGGTAAGATAGCAAGAGGTATTTTTAAACGACACGTAATTCCGTGTTTCGTCTTCTCGGATAAAATTTTCACCACGCCTGGCAAATTCACGAACATCTGCAATATTGAACAACTATACATTTTATAGTAGCATGTATAAATGTCATCAGTTATTTATTGAAAGTGTAGATGAATATTTTGATGAATTTCCTAGCAACGTGTCACGCATTTTTGTTTGCGTTTTTTATTAAACGGGCAAATTTGCGAACAAATATTTCATGCAATTTAAAATAAAACCATCCATAGTTGCAGTTATGATGCATGGGACGCGAAGCAGCTTACCTGAATATCGTTTACGAAATTTTTTCGCAAGAAAAAGCGGCTTAAGAAATATTTTCGTTACATTAAAATATCATCGTAAAAACATTTCCCGTATTTTTTACAAACACAAGCGAACCTTCTTCAAAGACAGGAAAAAAGATTGATGTCTCTGCATGCAGCTGTAACTGTATTTGAAAAAGATATTAAAAAATCCGATTTGCACGAATTCTGAGAAATCTGAAGCCGTAAGAAATATTCCTTATCCTTTCGAAACCTTGTGTACAAAGGAATACAAATTTCCTCGATGGCGTATAAAAGAGAAAAGTTGATTTAAGTGTTATAGAAAGTCTCTGTAACGATTGCATATTATATTGAAGATATGAAAGATCGTCGGTAAAAGAATAATAATAGTTCCGCGAAAATCGAGGGTTCAGAGCGAAGTGGAAACAAAGGGAACGCTTTGAGGACAAGAGGGTGGGTAATTCGATGAAGGTTCCCAGAGACCACGATAACGTCGTCATTGGCTGGTGTGTTTGTTTAAAGTGTAAATGCAAATTACGGGACCGCTATAACAGGTAGTTGCTTCGCGAACAGACACGACGGAACCGTGGGGTGGATCGAACAAACGTTTGTAAGGAGCTTGTGCCGTCGCGTTGGTGAAGAGGTGTTCGAGGAGAAGGGATTGTCTTGAGATCGGGGGTTGAAACACTCTCGTAGAAAGCTCTCCGTTCCTCGATCAGACCCGGAAAATGGATAAATTACTCTGCCTTTTCTCGTGACATCATCAGGAACCCCGTCAGCCTTCCAGTTACCTCTGTCACGGCTCTTCGAATTCGATTTCGAGCAGGTGTACCACGACAAAAATAATATTAACTGTACTCGATGGAAGAAGCGCTGCAATTCGTTTTGACGTTTCTATTCCCTTCTTCTTTTGTTACGGATGGAATACTTTATTCGCGGCTCTTACAGATATTATCGAATTTATACACCTGTTGGTGATATTTGTTCGATGCAGTTTGTGTTTAGCAAATAGATTTCAGTGATTTCGATCGGTTGTTGATTTTAGCATATTTCCAAATAAATTTAATATTCATCTGAATAAGTACTACAATTTTTTTTCAAGTTACTTGCATCTGTTCACGCAAAATTTTATTAGATAAAACGCTGATGTGAAAGCGCCGCCATTTTGAAAATATTGGAACAAACAAATTTCAGTGATTTCGATCGGTCGTTGATTTTAGCATATTTCCAAATAAATTTAATATTCATCTGAATAAGTACAACAATTTTTTTTTCAAGTTACTTGCATCTGTTCACGCATAATTTTATTAGATAAAACGTTGATCCGAAATCACCGCCATTTTGAAAATATTGGAACAAACAAATTTCAGTGATTTCGATCTATTGATCATTTTAACATATTTCGAAATGAATTTAATATTCATCAATAAGTTACGAACAAAATATTTTTTATCAAGCTCTATCTGTTCACGAAAAATTTTATTAGATAAAACTACCACCATTTGAATTTGATCTGCCGCCATTTTGAAAATATCGGAGCAAACAAATTTCAGTGAGTTCGATCGGTTGTTGATTTTAACATATTTCGAAATGAATTTAATATTCATCAATAAGTTACGAACAAAATATTTTTTGTCAAGATCCCTCTGTTCACGAAAAATTTTATTAGATAAAACTACCGCCATTTTAAAAATATCGGAGCAAACAAAAGTCTTCCGAAAACGTAGCTCGCATTATATATTTATTTCATTGAATATAGAATTTATTTCATCGAATTTATTTGAATGAATGCAGGATTTATTTCATTGAATATGTATTCCATTGAATACAGCAGGATAATGAATAAAGAATAATT